AGTGCGGTTGTGGTAATGCTGGTAGCCAGTCGCACCGAAATGCACCGTATGCTGCTTGCCTTGGTACGTAAAAACGACTTTCAGCTTTTTCCCAGGGCTTGATGACCTTGAGAATTGAATATTGGTTGGGCTCATTTGTAATGAACATAGAAAAATGATTGAACTCAATCCTCATCAGAGTCCTACACATACTCGTTGTCTTCACCCGTTGGTGGTGCTACCGTTCGCAGGTAGCTGTGTAACCACCATTCATGGTCGTCTTCTGACATATATTCGAATGCATCTTCTTCTTCTTGGCCTGATTCTTATTGGTCTGAATTTTCTTTGTCGCGCAGACGGCGTAATAATTTACCTAAAGCTGATTCCTCTGCGTCTGATTCCTCTTCGTCTGAGTCCTCTTCGTCGCTATAGATAGTTCGAAAGTAAGAGAGGCGAGGAGCTTGAAACAAATACCTCACATCTTCAAGAACATGGTTCATGAAATAGCCCAGTTTTCTCCGTCGCCTTGCGATTTCCTGAGTTTCCCCTTCTAGCTCTTCGTTACTTGCAAGAAACTCGTACCATTTACGGCTGGACTGACAGTCAGGTGTGTTAAGGCTTACGTATTCTAGCATAGAGTCTAATTTATGAACCTGTCGGCGCTTGAACCTTGTCAGGATATCCTCGAAGATATCGCGGGGCAGAGCTTTGTGAACCACTGACATCTCCATTGCTGAAGATTGATTGGGTTGTTTGGGCACTCGGTGGACTCCGGAAAAATTCAAAAGTTTTTTCAGAGGACTCGCTTCTTGTCTATGCAAGACAGCTTCCCTTTAAATGGTTTTCATTTTTGTAGAAAAGAGGAAACAAATTAGACGTCGTTGATGCACTCGTCCTCATCAAACCCAAAAGTGAATCGCACTTCTTCTAGCAGATCGTTAGCCAACAAACAGTAACTTCTGTCCAATGATTGAACAAAGTGAGGTTTTCTCCGATATAAAGACGCGTCGGTTGGACAGAATACGGGCCAACCCAATTCCTCGGACATATACCGTACCAGTTCCGCTCTTCTTTTTGGGATTTTGTTCTTCATTGACACGAGCCATTTATCGCGAATAATTTCGTATAGTTCGACAGGTAATGCCTTATGCACAACCGAGAGATCCATGGTGACACGGTTCAAAATTGTCAGGAAAATTCAATATTTTATTTTTAACCAGCCCGTCCTGTTTGACCTAGAGTAGATTTGGAGTAAATTCCGAGCAGACTCAGTTGAGAACCTTGTGATTTTCCAAATTTAGTTTGTTAAAATCTTTATTAGGTCTGTATTCAGTCTATATGTTTTTGTTTCTTTTGTTTTTGTTGAGTTATGAAGTGATAAGAGGTAAATGGGAAGCGGGAAGGGTGGGAAGGGTGGTTTTATAAAAAAAGGAGAGGGGGTAAGTGAAAAAATAGTTTGTAAAATCACCCTTCCAACCCTTCCCACCTCAGATTCAGCCTCCCCAAGAACTAAATCGAGATATTTTAAAAGTTTTGCGGAGACCTGCGCGGGTCCGGCAACGGTCTGGCAAGACCCGTACCATTACCGTGCGGATGTAGCGCGCGGTTTCAATCTAGTTCATGAGAGAAACACAATATTGCATTTAAAATCTTGATTAAAACTTTAATAAAAATCAATGGATAATAGCGGCACGTGGCAACCCCCTATTTTTGCGGAAGTCCAATCGACATTTGCAAAAAACGATTTCGCATGAGTAGATAGAACAATAAGTAGATAGAACGATAAGTAGATAGAACGATGAGTAGATAGAACGATTTCGCACGAGTAGATAGAACGATAAGTAGATAGAACGATTTCGCACGAGTAGATAGAACTATTTGGCATGAGTAAATAGAACCATTTCGCATGAATCGATGAGCGATTTCGCATGAGCTGTTGAACTATTTTGCGTGAATCGTTGAAATAATTTTGCGGGAGACAAAAATAAAACTATTTAAGGGTAATTCAGTTTAATAGTTTGAGGAGGAAAGAAAAACATGGTGTGTGTTTCCAATGATTCCGACGATATATAAAACTTTTTAATGACATATATTGGTACTTAAGGAGAGTGTACCTTGTCTAGTTGTGAAAAATGGCACATGCCACCTTCACAAGTTAGTCTTCAAATTTTTTAGGAGCATTCCTACATTTGCGGCGTATTTTGCGGGCTTGAGATTGGACTTCCGCAAAAATAGGGGGTTGCCACGTGCCGCTATTATCCATTGATTTTTATTAAAGTTTTAATCAAGATTTTAAATGCAATATATATATTGCAAACACTAAGGCCCGGCCGGGTGTGGACGGATAAGTACCTACTAGCTAAACTGAATTGAAGCTGCAACCGTACTAAAAGCAAGGAATAGATTGTGACGATAAGCAGACATTGATTTACAATTCGCCGTACGTAGCTTAGGCTCGATATTGAGCAATAGGCGAGCCTCTTTCGGACTTGACCGGCCCGCATACACTGAGTTCCCTGATTGTGTCCTCGTCACAAGCATTTCACAGGATTCGGCCAAAGGCCGCGCAATTGAGCACTTAATATTAGCTATAAGTTGTTTACCGCTTATGCATGAAGCTGGACCATCCTGTCCATACGATTGCCATTTCAACCTCGTCAACATAAACATCCGGAGTATCGGACTCAATCGTAAGCAACACTACAACGGGACATGGGTTCACTTAAAAGTCAGCGCTTGACGCGAATAGCCGCCAAATCAAGAGAGCACTGTCACAAGCACTGAATAAATTCCCATCAGAGTCTCTTTCGTCTGCTTGGACTCAAAGCCCGCTGGTCGTCGGTCCGAGTTTGCGTAGACTGAGTTGAAGCGTTTGGCTGCCTCACGTCCCGTCTTTCCGTTTGCACGTTTTCTTGTGCTCTTTCTTCCAATGACTTGCCTGCGAATGAAAGAAGGGTCTGCATCAGAAAAGTAGTGCCAAAAGCGCAGGCGAAAGCTGCGTGCTGGTTGATTGCATCTCGCTGTCTTGCAGGAGCATCCAATCAACACCCAAATTTAAGAGTATCTCGACTGAAGCATGTCCCTCCAAGCACCAGCTATGCAACTGCTTTCAGAAGCGAAACGACCCCGAAAATGGAGAGCCGAAAGAGCAGTTTCCTCCAGTGGTTCAGTCGTAGATGCCATTCTCAAGTAGTGAGTCTTTTTGCAGAAATACATCAACGAGTGACCATTCTTTACGCTGACGCATGCACCTGGTATTTCGGGGCATGCAATCTTTGTTTTGCAAGATACCCAGTGGGTCTTGTACTGGCCTCTCTCACTTTCTTAAGTTATAGCCTAGCTCGCTTCTGTTCAGAGCTTTACATTCAAAGCCCACGTCCTGGAGAAGACCTGTTTACTCAAGGACGTTGGCGCTTCTGGCTGGATTTTTCATAAGAATTTTCTTTTAAGACGGATAGGATGCTTTCATCCCATGTCATCATCAAAAAATGCTGCTTTTCTCAAGCGCCATCTCCACGGAACCTCACCTGGCACTCTTTTGAGCAATACTGCACGCCGCCGCATGCCGCGCATCTCTTGAAGAGGTTCTTCGACGTCTCGAGCACGTCTCGCGGGCACTCCTGGCAGCACGTCAGCACGACACGTGTCAGGAGGTGTGAACCTTGGCATTTTAGTCGGATAATACAAGAGTTCTGAGCAATATTATTATTATTATTAAGAGCCGCCATTCTTTTGAAAGGTCAGAATTTGAAAGGTTATCAGTCAGGCACGCTTTACGGAGGGTTGCTCTGTCCCAGGCTCAAGGCGACGCCTGATTAGTTGTTCGAGTGTGTGCTTCTCCGCCACTAGCAAGCGTCAACGTCAACCGAAAAGACCGCCAGTAGCAAAGGTGTTTAAAAGCAGGGACGCCATCCCGAATCGTTGGGCAATCGCAGAGGCGGCACTCACAAACCTGCCGCCAAATCCCTCACGCACGGAGCGCTCCCGCCTTGCAATTGTTGACTGTGCTTCCGCACGTTCACTGTCGAAAGCACAGTTCACTGTCGAAACGTTACTAAGGTGGCCCCAATCGGCAAGTAGTCTGGACTTGAAGATTTCTTTCACATCACCATGGATGGAAGCTGGACTCAAACCAATCAAAGCTAACCGGACAACAAAGTGGTCAATGAGTGCGCCTACCGGGAAGCTACACTTTTTGAGTCCGTAGCTCGCTGACAGCCCCTCCCACAGCCGCACCGCCACACCGCGCAGCTCTTCGAGCAACTCCAGCAGTTCCGCCCGGTTCTTCTCCTCGGGCACGTTTTTCCAAACGTAGCGCTCCGCGCCCCCCCGCGTCCGCAGCACCTCCGCAGCGAAAGTGACCCCCCCGTTGCACGCGAGCGCGTCGAGGAACGCCCCCGCGAGGGGCTCCGAAGCCAACACCGTTTGCAGGCAGAAGGTCAGGTTTGCCGCGACGCTTCCAAAGATGCCCCACCGCTCTTCTTCGTCGGCTGCCCGCCCTTCGCACGTGCGAACGAGGCCCGCCATGCCGGCATATGCCGCCCCGAGGCACGACATCAGGGGGCCGATATGCCCGGGGACTTCGTCCTTGACGACCCCCCCGGAACGGCAGAAAAACTCGAGGGCCGCCGCTGCGTATACAATCGGGCTATTGGGCTCGAGCAACGCGTTTGCCCCCTCGTCCAAAACGTCGAGCGCCGCGACCGCGAGCTTCCGCTTCCGCGCGTCGGGGCCCCACGTGGCCACCCCGTTGATGACGTCATCGTCCATCTTCTGCTTGAGCCCCGCCCACGAGGCGCACTTCTCGGGGCCGGCCAGCGGCGTCGCGCGGAACAGCGAGATGACGCCACGTGTGTCTTTGGACGGCTCCGGAATGAGCGCCAGGTGGTCGTAGAAGTGGTGCCACACGCAGAACGAGCCGGGGCAGCCCGCGACGTACCGCGCGTTTGCCGCGAGAAGCACGTCGAGCAGCGGCCAGCGCGACTCCCACTTCTCATCCGGGTTCAGATTGTACGCTGCGAAAAGTGCGTCCAACAACATGCGCAGCTCGAGTAGTCCGAGCGAGTTCACCGCCCCCCGCGCGAACCGCAGCAGCCGCGGCGCGCAGTCCGCCAACTCCGGACAGAAGGCCCCGTTTTCCTCGTTGTTGATCTCTTGGAAAGGCTCCGCGAGCGCGGCGAGGATGTACACGGCCGGCCAAACGGGGCCTTTGAAAGTGCCCGCAGTATCCCCTGCCTTCCGGTCCGTTTTCCGGTGTTCTTTCTCAACGACGTCGATCAAGACCGGAAAGCAATCTTTCGCCGCGAGCCGTTGCGTGTCGCTCGCTTCCCACCCCTCTTTCCGCAGCTCCGACTGCAACTCGTCCAGCAACTCGCACTTGACGCTTTCTCTCTCGGCGGTTTGTAGCCGGTCGAAGAGCGACTCCGCTTTTGCCACCGACACGCGCGCCCCTTCCTCTTTCTTCCCCCGCTTTCCTAACTCCCCGGCAGTGCCCCCCTCCGAAACCACTCCCGCGTGCTCGACAGTGCGCGCCATCTGCCGTCCGAACGCCTCGTACGTTCCCCCCAGCGCACATAACCGGTCTGCCGTCCGCAGGAGCGCTTCCCGCCTCGGCTTCGTAAAAAGAACCCGGTTCACTCGCTCGGGGCCTTCCACCAACTCAATAACCCGCAGCAAATTGCCCCCCGCCCCTCCGATCCGGACCCCTTCCCCGCGCGCGAGCATCGGCACCGAGAGGGCGTCCAAATAGCCCAGGTACCGGTCTAGCCAGTCGCCCAGAAGGGCCAAATCGTCCAGCCGGAGCTCCTTCTCTCCGGCGGGGTTAGTTTGTTGCAGGATCACGAGCATCATCGACTGGTGCTCAACTAGGTACGTGAGAAAAGCCAGCTCGAGACTGTCCGCCCACGAGAGAGACGGCTGCGCGGGGACCGGCAACGAGCGCAGCAGTTCGTGAACGACGCGGGCGTTCAGCGCTTCCGTCGCAAAGCGGGGGCTGTGCTGCATCAGGTTGTTGAGAAGCTCCATGTAGAGACAGGCGGTGTGCACGGTAGCGGAGTCCCAGTCTGCGCGCCGGCGCAGCGCGGCCTGGACTTTGGGGAGCAGGAAGCGCTGGAAGTGGAGGAAGGAGTGCGTGGCGGGGCCGTCGCCAAACTGTATAAGAGATGACGGTAAGATGAGTAAGCTTTCAGAGTAACAAGGACGCCGTCTGGGGCTGGTAGGGTTAATTTGGGGGTTAGGGTAGGTACACGTGTGGGGCATGTGAGTTTATGGGTGAAAGATTTCAATGCTCGGTTCCGAGCTGTTCCTGAATTTGTCATGAAAAGAAGTACACGGAAGGAAAGGTCTGTGCATTGCGTGAGAACTGAACACAGTCGAAGTTGGACGGCAGCCGAGTTGGAAGCTCTTCGAAATCGGGGGAGACGAGGAAGGGAAAGCGACGACGATCTCGCAGTCTCTGTCACTCAACTTTCTTGGAGCTTCAAGTCAACAGATTGAGTTTGTGTTCTTGAATGGAGAAGGCAAGATGTAGGAGTCACCGGAATCACACACACTACGATAATGTGTGACCTTTCGTGACCAAAATTTGAATCGCCAGAGACGCAGCGCAGCCTATCGCCCACAGCATCAAAGCGGGCAGTTTGGAAACGGGCCCCTTAGAAGGTGATAAACAGGGATACAGCATAACAATCCAATCATCTGAAAAAGCCAATGAGATAGAGGTTTATACGCAAGCTTTTAGCAAATAATCAACCACAGATCTAGCGTGCCATCTTGAAAGTCACTCGTACAAGAAGACGTCAGGAAACAGCCTTACTGTTTAGTGGCCTTTAAGAAAAATCAGATAATCATGCCCTCACCGTCTTGGCGAAAGAGGGAATGGAGCTCATCTTCAGCAGCACTCCCAGTATGAGGTGGTACTCCTCCTTGACATCGGTTACAAGGACCAGATCCAACAGACACGCTACCGCTTCCTTGTTCTCCATCAACACGAGCGCCTGAAGACGAGAAAGCGTCATGAAGTTCAAGACTTGAAAAGCGTGGATACCCATCCTTTGCTCACTATATAGATTTTCAAGTTTTATCCTTTTGTCCACCCTGCTTGAAGCTAAGCTGCCGCGGCTTGGGGGTGGGGGTAAGTCACCAACGCACAGCGGCGGCAATTTGTGATTTAGAGCCAGGAAGAGAGGTATTGAAAAGGAGGCGGAGGGAGAGGGTACCAAAACAAGCATGGGAAGCAACATGGAAGGTGAGATAGAAAGAAGAGAAGAAGGCAGCAGAAGCAACTGAAGGAAAAAAGTGGACCTCTGAGTCTGTCAGGTCCCAGTCAACGTTTGATCAGGAGGTCGCTCCTGATCAAACTTGTTTGGCAGTAGACGGATTCAGGAAGTGGAAATCATCTTACTCCGTCCTTTTGCACCTTCTTCCTTGCAGAGAAGCAGCAAATGCCCCAACATATCTGATACGTTGGAGTACAGGCTTGCATGAATTGAAGCTGTGCAATGCGAAAGCTGTCTTAAAGGGCCTTGCCAAGCGGGGTGATATTCCAAGAATGAAGTTCCAAGAGCCAGTCCCAGCAGCATACGGAGAAGAGGCACGGCCTCAGAAGCCCCTTCGTTCATGACGAACAGATAAAATGTTCAAACGTTGCCATATTCAATGCCGAGTCACACGATGTTGTCGCACCATTCTTAGCTTGTCACGATCCTCGAGGTCATCGAGGACTTGGTGTCAGATACAGGAATTGAAGAAGCAGAAAGGATCTAGACACAACACAACCAGTAACTGCAAGAAACAAACAAAGCTCCTCCCCCTCTTGAACATCTTGTTTGGCTTCAGCCGCAGCGCCGTCTCCTCTTGGGGGCTGACCTCAAAGCCCATGCTCCCAATTCCCATGATCATTGACCTCAGGTCCTGCAGCATTTCATACGCCCTTTCCTCCCTACTAAGCCGCACAAAGCGGGCCACAAAGTCCGACGCCTGCAAACAATGACCAGATTGCTGAGCCAGTAGTCTGAATGGGACAACCTTGCTACAACAAGGCCCGACTCTCGGGCTACTTAGCAACAAGAGTCAAGTTCAAAGTCACTCCAAGTTAATTACTGTCATCAGATATGCCCTGTTGAGCCAGGCAGTCACATTGCGCAATGCTGCCGTTCCACCTCCTCATGACTGTCTTTGTCTGATGTCATTCATCTTTTCAAGGGTCTGCTACGCGCAACAGCCCCATGAACACCTTTGAAAAGCACGAGTTTGGAATGTTGAAGGCTTTTTGGTGAAGGGCTTGGTCACGAAAGCTCACCTTTGATGCCATAGCGGATGAGAAATATTTTTGATGATCTTTGGGTACGCGTCAAGGTGCAGCTCCAAGGGCTTGCAGTTGAGAAGTTGCTTGTGCGGTGCCTAAACAAAAAATCTGTTCAGGGCGCACCCAATCGCCACCATATGGTCTATGGCCGCATTTTGAGATGTGCAGATCATTCAGTGACAGAGGATCAGAAGCACTTGCTGTGTTTTGGCTGCTGGTCCAGTTATGCACAACCTTCAGCATGGAAGAGATCACTCTCAGGCACCAGTGATCTTGCTTGATGATTGAAACAATCTGCAAAAGTGGATCACACCTCAAGAGCGACCCTGCCCAGCGTCTTTCTACATCACAATGCCAAATGCTGGTAGCATAGCGAGAAGCAGCGGCTTTCAAGATCGAAGGCCGCTGTTTCATCTGAAGTTCTACTTGGCTCGCTACTGTATTTGGTGCGTCAAGCTTGGGGATCATCCAGGGCTTGAACGGTAGGAATCTATCAGAAGCGATCTTTCCGGCTGTGTCAGCCGTCGATTGTAGACCTTAGATGCTGCGCTGACGCACCGAAAAGTCAGGATTTGGCGCCAAGCAGGCCGAGCAAAACCAAAGCAAACCTATTAAAGCGAAGGCACATGGATCATTCTGCCATTGTGGACGCCATTGGCATTGAGACGCAACATAATGGGGAATGCAGCCTGCAGCTAGGAGGCTGATGAGGAGCTTGTCTTTCCAGGGGTGGGCACCTTTGTACCGCATTTTTCGCTGAACAGCAGTAGTCAGCGAAGCCGGCAGTGGAGTCTAACTTGAAACACGGACGCCTTACGACCAGAGGTCTAGTAACCATGGCATCCAAGGTGAGCATCGCTTGTTTGAGGCTGCCACTGAATTTCTCGGGAATGCAGCCAGTCAAGGGGTTCAAGAGGAGGTGCTTGGTGGTATCATTGATCAACATTGTTCTGTAGCGCATGCCACCACAGCGTGTATGCTGTGTTGGACTAAAAAAAACCCCTTGTTACTTTCAGACGTTACAACGTGCACAAAAAGGGGATGACAGGACAAAGTCTGTGAAAACGAAACTTCCATTTGTAAGCAAGCAGAGTGGAAAACTATCAGCGGAGTGTCTGGAGTGTATTCACTTTTGAGTGCTCAGTCAGAGCAGCTGAAATACGATCCCTTCAGGCACCAAAATAAAGTCCAAAATACTGCAGTCCTTGCATACAGGGAGGAAGAGGAAAGTTTCTGGTTTCAGTAGGGCAATCATTTCAGACTCTCACGGATCCATACCTACTGCAGGCATCAGAATTCGTGACTCAATTTGTGAGACTCAGCAAGAATGGCCAGGCTATGGTTATGCTGCCGGACCTGAAGGAGGTGATTATGGGTATGGGAGGTCCTGGTTTTGAGATCTCCACCCAGGAGGAAACAGCAATGCGGCTGAAGCCAAACAAGATTTTCAAAAGGGTGAGGCATTGGCTGTGCTGAATGATCATGCTTTCACTTGCATCCGTTTTGCCACTTCCATCTCTCTTATTTTCTTTGCAGTGTTTGCTCCTAGACAAGTTCATATTGCTGTTGAGGTTCCAGCTTGGCACTTCGACGAGGCTGAATCAAACCAATCGTGTTCAAACTCAGTTGCCTTTTGTGTAGCTGGTTGTATCTTTTCCAGCGCCCTTCTCTGGCATCCAAAAAGCCTTACATTTCTGCTGTTCCTCTACACCGTAAAACGCAGCCCCGTAAACAGCATCATTTGGGTATCTTCCGTGCACGTCTTCTCGGTAGTTCCTGATAGAGGAATTTCTAGTGCTTCGGAGGGGGGGAAGAGCACGTTAAAACATCAATGGCAAGCGCTCGCTTTCTTGTGCGCAGGTGTTGGCACTGATGGGGAACAAGGAGGCTGTGGCAGCCTTGGTGTCTTTCATCATCCCAAAGGAAAGCACCCCTACTGATGCATACCACGTCATGCTGGGGGTGCTTCTGAAGCTGAGCTCCATCCCCTCATTTGCGAAAGAGGTGAGTTGATATTCGTGCAGGAACTCAGAAAACTTTGGCAACAGAAAAAGGTGTCCCACTTATCAAGTGATCGTCAGACGTGAAAGCTTCCAGCATTGTCAGTGCGGAAGTTTGTTGAAGCCTGATGGACACTGCAAAGCTTGACGTAGGACACAGACGCCCTTTCAGGGGAGACTGAGTTCGAGCTCACTCGCACTTTGAAAGAAATAGGTGAAGCCTCTCTAGCCGCCTTCAGAGGCTGGTAGCTCAATTACTTCTTAAAGATCTGTCTTTTTTGTTGTTGCGCTCCTGAAGAAGGCGGTTATCCTCGACTTACTACCTGGCTTTTACCTCCCCCTGCTTTTACGACCTCAAGTCATATCTAAGGACAAAACTTGCAGGCCCCTGTCAATCGCCATAGGGCCTGTCTTTCTCTTGCACACCCTTTCTGTCCTTCTTACTTTCTTACTTTCACCCGTGTTGTTCTGAACGGACACTGTTCGAAGCACTATTTCTTCTCCTGCCTGCAGCTTGCCGACGTCCCCGCCGCGCCAGCTTTCCTCCTGTTCCAGCGCTTCCTCTACCCCAAACTCGATACCGCCTCGCGTCGCCGCGCCGCCTGGGACCCCAGCTACATGAACGCTGCCTCCCTATACAACCAGCTCCTCAACAACTTGATCCGGCACAGCCCACGTTTCGCAGCGGACGCCCTAGACTCCCGCCTAATCCACGAGCTGCTGCCCGCTTTTCCTTTTGCCCCTCAAGCGTTCCTGACTTGGGCGGCCACTCCTGACGTGACATCTGTCACGAACCTAGCCATCTACCAGGCATACACGCTCGTTTGCCTCCAAGACACCAACCCCCGGGGTCCCCAAGACATCCGCCTGAAAGACCTAGCTCTTGTGGGCGACTGGCTAGACCGGTTCCTGGGCTTTCTTGACGCCTTCTGGGGCCGGTTGGTTGCGTGCGGGGAGGGTGGCCGGATCGGGTCGGCAGCAGTCCACGTGCTGCGGTTTGTGGATGTCGTGGAGGGGCCCGGGGAAGTTAACCGGGCGCTCTTTACGCCCACCCGGCGGGCGGCGTTCCTACAGGCGGTGGAGAGGGTATGCGCCCTGGGGAAAGCCTATGAGACGTTCGGGCGGCAGGTCGCGCAGACCGTGGAGCGAGCGGGGCTGCGGATGGCGGGAAGTGCGGCCGCGTTGAACAGCGCGGAAAAGATGGGAGTGGCTCGTGCTTCGTTAATTAGAGCAGAGGCGCTTTTCAAGAAGTTGCGGACGGCCAAGAAGGATGGGAACACGTGGCAGGGCCAGCTTCGAGATCTGCACGACGAGGTGCGGAAGGGCGGGTTGAACGCGCAAGACACGTGCAGGTTAGCGGCGCAGGGATGCATCGCCCTGCTCGTCGACATTCTCGAGGAAGAGGACTTGACGCGGGACCGGAAACCGGGAATCATCTCCGCCACGACTGAGGGCCCCGTCTGGCCGGTCCTCGAAATTCTCGTGGCTCTCGCGGAGCCCTTTGACCGTGTGTACGCCGGCGCGAACGAGGCCTCCTGCCGGGAGCTTGCGGAAGCTGCGCCGCGGCTGCTGCGGTTCACTCAGGGGGGGGCGGTCGGCGTTCTCGGGTTGCTGGAACTGCGCTTGCTTGTCGAGGTGCTCTTTATGGCGTACGAACTAAACCCGGACGGTTGTGGGAGGCGCGCTGGTCGCTTCTGGACGTCCTTCTCGCGGCGAACACGCAATACATCCCGAGCAGCCCCGGCGCGTGGCGCGTCTGGTACCGCATCTACGACGCCCTGCCGTACGTCCCCGAGCCGACGTCCGAGACACGTGGCCTCATCTTGCTGCTCGCCGCGACGCCGTTCGAGCAGCGCGAGAAGCGGGAGACGTGGTCGGGGCTGACGCAGAAGCTGGTGCACGAGGGCCAGTCGGGGGAGGCCACGTGGGGGCCCGACGCGCGGGACAGGAAGCTCTGCCACGTGGCACTGAAAGTGTTGGACGAGGGGCACGCCGCGATGGCGGACGTCAACAGCCCGGTCGTTTACGCGGCGTCTACGCTCCGCTTCTGCTGCCAGTTCCGCGAAGCGGTGCGCACCGAAGTCGTCGAATCCGTCGGCCCGCTTATGGCGGCCCTGGGGACGGCACATGCCGGCATGGCAGGCCTCGTTCGCACGTGCGAGGGGCGGGCCCCCGACGAAGACGAAGCGCGCCGGTGGGACGCGTTTGAGGGGGTGGCTACAAAGCTGTCGTTCTGCATGGGGGCGGTTCGACGTGGCGCCCCTCGAGGGGAGGCTGCGGGACGCAATCGCTCAGAATGGGGGGGTGAGTTTCGCTGCGGAGGTGCTGAGGACGCGGGGGGGGGCGGGGCGGTACGTGCGGAGGAACATTCCGGAGCACGAGGACCAGGCGGGGGCGCTGTTGTTGCTGGAGCAGCTGCCGGGGTTGGCGCTGCGGCTGTGGGAGGGGCTGGCGCAGAAGTACGGCCTTAAGAAGTGCAGCTTCCAGGTACGCACGGCCCGTTGTGGCAACTTGCAGATTGGTTCTCTCAGCTGATCTGGTATTTGATTTGATTTGCTGTCGAAAAGCGGCGAGGTTATCTTGGCGCGCACAGCCAAAGACTGTTACAGTATTCTCTCGGGGTCAGCCAGTCCTTTTCGATGCGGTCGGTCTCAAGGCTAGAATGGAGTTGGCCGGCTAAAGAGGGCAGCTTTTGTGTATCTAGAGTTGCTCGGTCATGTGTCTAGTGCGGTCCAGAACGTGCAGTCCAGAACGCCGGCGGGTGTTTAAGTCTGTTGGGATTCTGCTTTGCTTCGTCCCCCGATCCGTGAGTACTTCAGCTTCAGTTGTTCGACACAACCAAATGCTATCACCCTAAGCCAAGAGACCGGGGCCCAGATAGTCGTTATTCCACTACGTTTTCCCTTCTGCTTCATTCCACTTTCTCCACCCGCAGACTTTAGACAGCTTGAACTTGTTTGGCGGGATTGCAAAGCTCGTAAGTACCAAGATCTCTTAATGCTTCTTGGTGCGCCTACAAACTCTGATGAGCCGGCTGTGTTAGTAGCCACCTTCTAGTCCCGATCGGTCGCTGACGTCAGGCACGAGGTGACGTCGTTCGGCCTCTTCGAGCGCCACTCCGTGTCTCTCTCTCCAATACCCGTTTGGCCCGATTTTGGTGCTGTGCTGCTTCCGGAGAAAGACTGACACTTGTCCTGCTGTCGTGCTGCCAGGAGTGCTCGCGGGATGTGGTTGAGACGCGGAAAAGTCTGTTCAAGAGGTGTTCTGCATGCAGCCGGGTGCAGTACTGCTCCAAAGAGTGCCAGGTTAGTGGGCCGATGTTTGTGTTTCTTTCTAGACCTGAAAAATATTGAAAAAATATCGACAAGGGAACACTATACCATCTTGAAGTATAGGTTCTATGAACACGTACAGGTTTCACGAACGCATACAGGAGTGAGATAGAGATAAGCTGGTCCTTCCTTATGATTGTAACTAATGCAGCCCTGTAATTCCGCCCTATAGTCTGTTCCCCTGATGTGACTAGAAATGATTGAGATCTGGTTCCCGATCCATCTACTGTCGACGACGGGATGAGAGGCTGTGGCCAGCTTGCAGTTGTCTGAGCCCAAAGGGTACAAACTCTCTTAGATCTTCGCCAACGCAGTTTGATGAGCGCGTTGTGACGTCAGGCCGCAGTTTTCCAAATTCTGCGAACTCCTTGCTCATCCTCGCGCGCACTCCGTTGAGTATTCTGCAACATTTCTGGAGTCGCCTTATCATCCTACAGCTTGGCACTCTGAGTATTATCAAAGCTTCGGCGTTGCTTCTGCGGGACTCAGACGTAGAGGCGGTCTTCTGGGCTCTCCTTCAAGTTCCTCTGCCCTGGCTTTCCGTTTCGCTTGAGGCAGAAAGCGACCGTTTCGCACTGTACCTCACCTGTCTGACTGTGTTTGGATTATCAGCTCGTGTCTTAGACATTGCACGAAACCGAGAAACCGATGTTCAGATCAGAAACGGATCGAACGCAGCGAAGTCTCATGGAACCGGTGCTCTAAGACAACCCCGATGTCGACTGAAGGATCTCTTAAAGCAAAGACCTACTACCAGCTTGATCGCATTCAGCTTTTTGCGTTCACGTCTGGTGCGCTAAAGCCGCCACCTTCTGGTCCTCTTTAAGGGTAAGTTGTGGCACTCTTGAGACCGGGAAACCGAGTGCCTGCGCACGAAAGAAAGAGGAACGGGTACTGAAACGTTTTCTGAAGTTAGTCCGGCGATGTGGTTTCTTTTGCAGGCAAGTCACTGGAAGAAGGAGCACAAAAGGACATGCGGGAAGCAGGACGGAATTTGATGAGAGCCCTGGTTCGCCAAAGCGCAAGGAAACAGGCAACCCCAGCAAGAAGTGTAGCTCATTTCGAGGCGTCTGAGCGCTAGTTTTTTGAGACGGGTTGCCTTGACATATGCGAACGGTATAAAGCCAACAGCCAGATGTTGCTAGGCCTTGTGCGTTTTAGCTGCAAGAGCTTTCAAGTCAGACGATGAGTCGAACGGTTGAACCAATCGAGAGCTTGAGTCGAAAAGTGGGTTGTCTTCTCCATATTGATGTAAGCTAGCAAGTGCACGCTTAGTAATCTAGAACCCTTAAAGATCGCAGATTTTGTGCATATACGGAGCGCCTCGCTCAAGGCAGGCTTGTTACGGGAATGAGAATTGAATGATGCTAGTAGTATGATTTTGTCACAGGCAATGCAGCGCCATGTGATTCAAGACGAAGCCAAGTTGGCAAGGCTGGGCCGGCGCCCACTTAAAACACCGATCATGTTCAGTCCAACCGCCAAATACCTGAACTATAATGACATGCTGGTTGGCTGCATGTAATCACGGTGCACACTAGCCAGAGAGGACTCGGAGCTAGCTAGCAAGTTGAATTGTGCCGACATCTTGGTTGGCGGCCGCGTGCGGCCGCGCATGCGGCGTCCATGTCTCTATGTCCCATGATTGATGATATCTCACATGCACGATCATACAAAGCACATATGACGATTTTAGTAACGAGAGGGTATGATCGCAGCATGCGCCGCACTTATAAGCCAATATATAATGTGTATATAGGGCGGCTACCTATGTACCTACCGTCAGTAGTATTATCCAAGCCAGTCGCAGCAAGAGCGTAAGAGGCCGGGCATATATCAGCGCAACGGGGCCGCCGCGCGGCCGAGCGTGCAGGCGCTAACGTACTAGTGACCACTGACGCATTATCAGCATCACAGTTTGAACTGGTGTGCACCTCATTGACATGGGCAATCTGCCCGTCCTGATTATCTAGGCAGCCAGTTGGTGCCCAGCTTTTTAGTGATACACAGCGCTAGGTGACGGTTACCATAATACTCGCAGAATTTCGATTCAGATTGTGCAACCTAAACTGGGGCCCGTCCTTGTGAGCAAAGCGCCCTTATATTCGCCAATCTGTGATCTCTTAAAATAGCGTGCACTACTAGCTTAGACTTCAAAAGAAGACAACCGGTTTTTCAACTCAAGCTTTTAAATGATTCAGCAGCTCGATCTGTAGTCTGATTCCGGAGCTTTCGCACCAAAAGAGCACTAAGCGTCTTGACATCTGGCCAACTTGCTTTCGGCTTTCCCTCTCTGTACCGCTGCATACATTAAGGCAAGCTGTGTTGCAAGACTAGCGCTCGAAAGCGTGGAGGTGACATACCCTTCTTGCTCGAATCACCGTTCCCTCGCGCTTCGGTTTTGCATACCGCCGAGGACTCTCATCAAAGTCCAATCTCTTTCCCGCATGACCTCTTGTGCTCCTTCTTCCAGTGAACTGCCTGCACGTGAAGCAGATTGCCAAACTTAACCAGGCGCTTCAGAACGCGGTCCTCTGAAGCCCGAAAGCCGTAGCCCTTGTTCCCAAAAAGGGGTCTCCGCCATGTGCAAGCACTCGCTTCTCCATTTTCAAGAGTGTCCCAAACATTCAGAGAACACAAAATAACGTGGCAGGTCAGGGCACCAGAAGTAACGCGAGTAGAAGGATGTCAGCCAAGCTGCCCAGTGATCGTCACTGCCAAAGATCCTTCAACCGGGTTGACTTGTACGTACACCACCACTTGAGCATCTTGAGATTCTGATGCGAGAATGGGCCACATCAATCAGCCTGTAAGGTTGCACTCTAGACTCTCAACGTCAAGCAATGTCTAAGAAACACTTCGTGTCTCGCCGCATACGGTTGTTTGGATT